CACCTTGGTCTGGAGAGAAAAGACTTAAGCTGTGAACCGCTTACCTGTATCTGACTGGCATTGTTCAGCTTAGTTGGTATATTGCTTACCATCTAATTTGCTTCTCACAGTCCTGGACTAGGCATTATGCCTTTTCTGTAGATGAAGAGACAGAAATTCAAGGAGCATTAGTGACTTGCTCAAAGCCACACAGCTAATGAGGAATAAGGTTCAGCATGAGCCCAGATTCTCTAACCCCAGAGCAATGAAGTTCCCATTTCTGCTGCCCCTGGGACCCAGCCCCCCTTCAGGTCGATAGAAGTCACAGAAAGGCCACCAGCTCTGGGCTCTGACAGGCCCCAGTGTGACCTGAGTACTACCATGTGTATCCCTTAACTTCTCTGAGTTGGCTTCCTCAACCATAAAGCAGATCAAAATACCGGCCATCTAGAGTTGTGGGAAGATGCAGTAAGTAATATATGGAAAGTGCATCTGGCATTATGTGGCAGGAGACAGGGTGTTGTCATCGCTGCCCCACATGTCTCCTTGGCAGAAAAGAGAAAAAGGAAGGAGTTGCTCATCCCTAGACCCTGCTCTCGGGAACCATCCTCAGGAACTGCCACTTTTCTGACCTACTCTACACAGGATCTGCAAAGACACGTTCATTACATTTTCTGAAAATATTTAATTTATAAAAAGCTTCTTAACTGTGTGAACTGTGAGAACATTGTACTGAGTGAAATAAACTAGCCACAAAAAGACAAATATAGTAGCCCTAGCTGGTTTTGCTCAGAGGATAGAGCATCAGCCTATGGACTGAAGGGTCCCAGGTTCGATTCCAGTCAAGGGCATATGCCTGTTGCTGGCTCAATCCCCAGTGGGGGGTGTTCAGGAGGCAGCCAATCAATGATTCTCTCTCATCATTGATGTTTCTATCTTTCTCTCCCTCTCCCTTTCTCTCTGAAATAAATAAAAATATATTAAAAAGAAAAAGAGAGACAAATACTGTAGATTTTATTCATATGAGGTTTCTAAAGTAGTCACAGCCATAGTGACAGAGAGTAGAATGGTGGTTGCCAGGGCTTGGAAGGGGAACAGGAAGCTGTTTAATGGGGACAGAGTGTCAGATTTGTGTGTGTGTGTGTTTTTTAAATTTATTTATTGATTTTAGAGAGAGGGGTAGGGGGAGAGAGACAGAAACAGATACCGATTTGTTGTTCCACTTATTTAAGCATTCATTGAATTAATTGGTTGATTCTTGTATGTGCCCTGATTGAAGATCAAACCCACAACCTTGGCATATCGGAACAATGTTCTAACCAACTGAGCTAGCCAGCCAGGGCCCAGAGTTTCAGTTTTACAAGATGTAAAGAGTTCTGAAGATGGATGATGGTGGTGGCTGCACAACAGTGTAAATGTACTTAATGCTACTAAACTGTACACTTTAAAATGGTTAAGATGATAAGTTTTATGTTATTTGTATTTAATCACAATTGAAAAAAAATTTTCTAGAAAAAATACCACCTCTGAGCCCTGCACATTTTGCTTAGGTTTCTGCAGGGGCAGTGGGAACTTTTTTTCTATATGGTTACAGTCGGGTTACCTTATAACAGGGACTCAGTTAGTATTTAAGGCCCAAAGTCACCCTGGAAAACCCCTGTGTGGCCCACAGAGTAGGTGAGAATAGGCTAGCACTGCCGATTTTTCTTGTAGAATTAAAACAAACACTGTTACTTTGAGCATCAAATGAAATAGCTGATTTATGTTCAGGGGTCATAAAAATATATATATTCCAAGAGACTCTCAGGGTGGGACATACACATTATGAGGGGCCCTCAGAGCCCAGACCTGCAGATTCCCCACCCCTCCTCGTGTTGGAACACAAACCAGCAGAATGGGCAGTCACCAGCCCTACTGGATGTGTGATTTTTCTTTCTCTTCTGCAGAGTTGAATGGGTTCATGAGGTGGCTCCAGTGAGGTGGCCTTTGTCCAGTCAAAGGGAACTGGGCATGTGCCTTACTATCACCCCTCTGACCAGCTGATTCTAATGGGTTTTAGACCCTAACTCATTGCTCTGACCTTTGACCAGATCTATTGGCCATAGAAAAATGGCCCATTCCCCCCACCACATACCCACTGCAAGGCACATCACATCCCAGACAGCTGCTCAACTTGAAAGTCTCCAACTTTAAAGGGCCCTTTCAGACCAAAGATCCAATTCCTGAGGCCAAAGTTCAAATCTAAATTATAGGGTTCCTAGCTTTTCACAGATTTCTCTTCAAATTAAAATACCCGAAAAGAGAAGTGGTAGAGTAAAACTCTCAGAAGACCTTATCAAATTAAACAGTGGGTGTGAGCCAGCCTTGTCTTTCAGACAGATTTGAACACTGTCTCCTTCAGAGGGTTTAGGCAGCACCTAGCCCCGTTCCAGGCATGGCTAAGGCCTCCAAATGAATAAATAACCAGCTACCCTGGGGCACACCTGCCTTCATTAGTTTGGTGTTCGTCTAGAGCAGTGGTTCTCAACCTTCCTAATGCCGTGACCCTTTAATAGAGTTCTTCATGTTGTGGTGACCCCCAACCATAAAATTATTTTCATTGCTACTTCATAACTGTAATTTTGCTACTGTTATGAATCATAATGTAAATATCTGATATGCAGGATATATTTTCATTGTTACAAATTGAACATAATTAAAGCATAGTGATTGATCACAAAAACAATATGTAATTATATATGTGTTTTCCGATGGTCTTGGGCGACCCCTGTGAAAGGGTCGCTTGACCCCCAAAAGGGTCATGACCCACAGGTTGAGAACCGCTGGTCTAGAGCAATAGATTCTGATTGGCAATAAATTTAGGTTGTTATGCCTAAGGATTGAGAAGTATGCTACTTAAGTGAAGGCTGTAAACTTAAATCCTGATTCTGCCATTAAATACTTTGCTATCCCCAAGCAAGACTTTCTATCTTGATTTCCCTCATGTATAAAATTGGAAGAGATCTGTAGAAGTACATAAAAATGAGAGAAAAAATGAAATGCTTACTGGTGAAGTCACTTATTTTTTACCCTGCAATGCACGTGATTCCAAATCTGAACAGGCAGAAGTGAGAACATTTGGATTTATTTACATAACCAGGGGGAGGGTCCCTCTGGGATCTCACAGTTGATTTTTCTAAATCAGTTTGGCTCCAAGCACTGGACAAACGACACAGCTGAGACACAAAACCATTAAAAAATACCCCGTTACGAACACAGGCAGAGTAAAGGGTGAGAAGGAAGCAGGTGCAGCTGGTGACCTTGTGACAGTGTCGTTAATGGAAAACGCTCCGCACTAGGACCCCCGGGAGATCCCTCAGCTCCAGTCCCACCTCTGCCACCGCACAGCTGTGAGACCGAGCAATCACGGGAGCTCCCCCGGACTTGTGAAATACTCAGACTGTCCTGGGGGAACCTCGGGGCTGGCTGTGCGGCTCCGACCAGGTTAACATGTAGATGAACAACGGAAACCGTACATGTTAAACCAGGCGCGGAGTTACTATCACATCCCTTCCTAATAGGAAACACTGAGGCACTGGAAATAAATATCAGGCGCCTCCTAAGAGGTCCCTGAGCACAGAACTCACTCCACACCCCCACACCCCGACTCTCCCCGAAGAGGCACAAGGACTTAGTTGCCAGTAGCTTGGGTTCCTGAGTCTCATTGTCTGAGTTCCTAATCCCAGCTCTGCCATGTGTGTGCTTGGGACTTGACACAGTGACCTACTTGGTTGAGCCTCTGCCTCTTCACATATAAGTTGTGGAGATGACGGTGACATTACTGGATGGAATTGTAGAAGATTGACTGTTGCATATTAATAAACCCTGTTATGGACTGAATGTCGGTGTCTCCCCCCACTCCCCAAATTTACATGTTGAAGCCCCAGTCCCCAATATGATGGTATGTGGGGGTGGGACCTTTGGGAGGTGATTAGATTTCGAGGTCAGGAGGGTGGGCCCCCATGACAGGATTAGTGTCCTTATAAAAAGAGAAAGAGAGATCTTTCTCTCCATCACGTGAGGACACAGTGAGAAAGTGTCCATCCGCAGGCCAGGAAGAGGGTCCTCACTAGGAACTGAATCAGCTCGCAACTTCATCTTGGACATCCTGACCTCTGGAGCTGTGAGAAATTAATGTCTGTTGTTTAAGCCTCCCAGTCTATGGTATTTTGTATGGCTGGCTAATACATACCCAAAGAGCTTAGAACAGTATCTGGTTTATAGGAAAATATTCAATAAATATTAGCATATATTTATGTTTGGCTCTTTTGAAACTTTATTAAGAAATATTGCAGGTATTCTAAAATGTTTAAAGTATAATAGAGCCCTAGCCAGTTGGCTGGGTTAGTTGGAGCATCTTCCCATAAATAAAAGGTTGTGGGTTCGATTTCTGGTCAGGGCACATAACTAGGTTGTGGGTTTGATCTCTGGTTGGGGTGAGTACAGGAAGCAACCAATGGATGTTTCTCTCTCACATCCATATACCCACCACCCGACATAAGATATAAAACACTACCAATACAAGTGGAAGCCCCTGTGTACCTTCGCTAATCACATTCCCTCCTTCCTGCCCAGAGGTGACCATGCTCCTGGATTTGGTATTTATCACTTCCATTAATTTCTTTATACGCTTACTCCATCTGTACGTATCTGTAACCAATGAGACTGGGCTGGAAATACACCAGAACTGACATGTCCTTCTTCCAAAAGGATTTAGACATAGGGTCTAACTTACCACAAAGTGTTGTTTGGCAAGCGCATTCTCATTTGTCACCTCCCTATGTTTGCCTTTTCACTTCCCTGAGCTGGGAACGTGTTAATATCTCCAAGTGGACCAATTGCTGAAACAAACCCTTAGTTAAGTCTCCTAGTAGCAGGTCTGTGCTTGTCAGAGACTGTGGAGCTGCCGCCTTCCCCCTTTCTCGCTTCCCCTCATCCCTGCCCCTTCCAGTTCAGAACTGACGCCCCCTCCTCCCTTCCAGACGGAGATGCGGCTGCAGGACCAGCAGCTGGCCAGACAGCTCATGCGCCTGCGCAGTGACATCAACAAGCTGAAGATAGAGCAGACCTGCGACCTCCACAGGCGGATGCTCAACGACGCCACCTATGAGCTGGAGGAGCGCGATGAGCTGTCAGACCTTTTCTGCGACTCCCCGCTGGCCTCCTCCTTCAGTCTCTCCACGCCACTCAAGCTCATTGGAGTCACCAAGATGAACATCAACTCCCGGAGGTTCTCCCTCTGCTGAGCAGCCCTACAACAGGGCAGAGGAGCCAGAACAGAGGGTTTGGGAAGCGGAGAGGGGGCGTGGGGAGAAGGGAAGTGAGGCTGAGATTCCTCAAGTAGGTCTCCCCAGAGGCACAGCTTCCCTGAGACTGGTGAACCGTGGACCCCAGGGCCTGTCCGCAGGGGATCTCCCTGGGGCCCCAGCTTTGGAACCCAGCATCCCCATGACTGGCTCTCACTTAATACCCAAAGAGTCCTGCAGAAGGGCCACTCCATCCCGACGTTCAATGAGACTTGGGTTTCCAGCATGACACCTCTCAGTCCTCCCCTCAGTGATCCATGTTCCTGCTTCCTGGAATCACTGGTGCTATGAGAACTGGGATCCCAAAGTGGGGGTGGAGGAGATGGGCAAAACAGTGATTATTACAGAAGGCTTCCCCACGGGCATGGAGCCCCCAGGCAGAGGTGATTAGACATATCAGATGTGCCCATCTTGCTGTGGCTGTCCTCTAAGTACTGGCTCGAATTCACCCTAAGTGGGTGACTCAGAAACCCCAACAGGGACCCACCAGGAAAGGAAAACCAAAAGGATACAATGTAAATTGTACCCAGTGGGTGCTGGGACACACCAGTCTAACTTGGCTGGAGCAAGCATAGATGCCCTCTGTTGCCTGTCTGGCCACTTGTACAAGTGCCAACTTCCAAAGAGTCCCTTTGCCATCACGCCATACCCTGGGGGAGTGCCTAGGAGACCGCTGGTGACAGAACCAGGCAGGTCTGTCCATGGATTTCCCATAACTGAATTTTCCCTGGGCCCAGCAATGGCCTCCTGGTAGGTTCTGCCAGTGTCACCTACATCACCTTCTTGCCCACCCAGAGAAACTGGAGGGAGCCCAGACGCTCACCCTGAACTCCTCTGAGATTCTGTGCCTGACTTAAATGACTAATTTTAATGGAATCAGACTGTTACTAATCTGTCACTAACCTGTTAATAACTGTTTGATTTTTGTCCAAATGGCAAAGCCAGTTAGGTAGGTCAAATACAGAGGTTCAGGGTTTTGCATGAGGATCGCGAAGGTGAGGACTGAGACCTGAACAGGTTAGGAAAGTTAGCCCGGTAGAGTACCATGTGTCAGGTGTTCCCCGGCAGGCGGGAATTTTTAACCTTGGATGCCACCTAATCGAGGCCTCTCATTCACAAAGTAGTAAAGTGAAGCCAGGGAAGGAGAAAATGACTTCCCTCAGGTGACGCAGCTCATGAGTGGCTATACCACATTGATGTGTTAAAGCATTATCGATAATGCCTAGACAGATAATGTATCAATGAACTTGAACTCCAAAGATGGTCCTAAATGCTTTGCCAAACCTACAAACTGCCAACCCCTCTACTCTCCACCTCACTCAGCCCTCACGTGCACCTCCCACTGTGCAATTCAGAATCTTTGGGTCAAACTCAGAGCAATGTCTGGACAGCAGACCCACAGAACACATATTACCAATCACAAATCCATAGTCGAAGTAAGATGTCCTGCTGCCCTGACGTTCATGTTTTGTCTTCCTGTATAATCTCATTGGGGCACGCGCGCGCGCACACACACACACACACACACACACACACACACCAGGACCCATATTAGGAAAAGGTTGCTTTTCTTTTGTGGCCAGGAGTAGGAAGATGCCAATGAATGGTCCCTAGTTGGACAGAAAAGAAGGTTGGTCTTGTGATTTCAAAGAGCCAGAGGGTTTATGCTTCCTTCAGAGAAGTTGTAACCACATAGCTGGATTTGTTTTGGCCCAACTCTGAGCAGTGACAAAAGTCTGAAGCCCAGAGGACTGGTCTATGGCGACCTCAGAGGAAGGCCACCTACCCTTCCCCCTCCCCCAGGCCGGAAACGGGGGAGATTTTCTCCACTCGGTAATAACCTCTCCCCAGGAATATGTCCAAGCACTGCCAAGTCCTGCAGAGGCCTTCCTGCCAGGCTTCTCCCTGAGGTCATGGGTGTCAGGAGGGCCTACGCACACCCACCACACACCCTACAGAGACACACACATACACCTACTCACACAGGAGAGCTCATTCCATATTCTAAAAAAACAAGAGCCAAACTGATTTTTTTTCTTTCTAGAAATCAGTCATCACAGTAACTGAGAAAGCTGGAATCAACTGAAGTTGAAGGATGTAGTTGAATTTTGTCAACCCAATTGAATCAGAATCAACTGGGCAATTTAGTTGCTCAGCCTACTTTTTCTGTTGTTTCAGGAAAGGAACCTGCGCTCAAGACACACTTTTTTGGATAGGTTAGTTATTTCAGCTATTTTGTTTAGTGCATCCCAAGAGAACTTAATATTTGGGAATAAGGAAGGAGAAAGAAGAGAGGATCAGAGAAGAGAGGTGGAGGGGAAAAGACTGGTGTGTTTTCTTGTTGTCCAGTGTCTGTGACTTCCCTTACTTACACAGTGAACACAAATAACTAATCAAGTCCATTCAGCTTTGTGAAGTCCCTGCCTCGTGTGGGTCCATAGATGCCAGCTCCCCAGAGCAACCTTCTCGCTTACCATGTGTATACAATACTGTTTGCAGTTTTACTCATTATCTACCCATCTCCTTGCCACCCCCAAGGACCCCTGGGTGTAAACTCAAAGTCTCCATTGACACTTTGTGTGCGGTAACATCTGATGCCTTCATGGGCTCAGCAGTGATCACAGAGGCCTGGAGAGCCTGGGCAGGCTTGAGACGGCCTGACCCAGCCCAGGCCTCCTCCTTGTAGCAATACCAAGTGCTATTACATAATTGATGGACAATTTATAATTTTATTTTTTACAATTATTTGTTTCTATATTGCTGTTAGAAAAAGTGAAATAAAAATATTTCAAAAGAAGATGTATATTGTTTCTGTTAAAGGATAGGGTTGAACACTTAACTGAGGAGAGACAGAAGAGAGAGAGAGAGAGAGAGAGAGGAGAGAGAGAGAGAGAAGAAGAAGAAGAAGAAGAAGAAGAAGAAGAAGAAGAAGAAGAAGAAGGAGAAGAAGAGAAAGATTTGAACAATCAACCATTGAATGGAGAAAAAGATTCACTATAATCCCTCTTTTCCTCTATGGTGCCTTCCCCCAAGGGGCTGCTTCTTGGTGGTTGCAGCCAAGAACTTCCCAGTGTGGGCTAAGTGAGCTCAAGGGGTGGAATTAGGAGATGCAGTCATTATCCTGAATTTCACCAAGGCCAGCACCATGCCCTCACACAGTGGTCCCTTCCAGAGGTGACTCTGATTGAATTCAGAGTAACTGGGTCAGATTATAGCAATGCCTGAACATGCAACCACAGGACATGCATTTCAAATCACAGTTCCATCTTTGAAGTGTGGAGCTTAGCTTTGCCATGCTCAGAGAACTGTGCCTTAAACTTTTTCAACCTCTTAAAGCAGCAGTCCTCAAAATTAAGCGTGCATGAGGATCGCCCGGAGCACCCGTTGCAAATGCATATTCCCAGGGAAATTCCTGGGCTCCTCCGCAGGGATGGGAGCTCCAATAATGGGGCCTAGGAACCTGTTTTCAACAAACGCCCCAGGAGACTGGCACAGGTGGTCCACAGGCCTTGAAGAAACCTTCCAAAGGATGGAGTGGGCAAGGGGAGGCATGTTTGAACCACTCCCTATCTCAGGGGTCTCAGGAGAGGGCTACGGCAGAGGGTCCGAACAGGTGTTAGGAATCCCATTTTGTGGAAAGAGCCCAAAAGAAGCTATATGCAGTCCCCTGAGATTGATCCCCTGCCTGCAACATGGGTGACTACATCTGTTTCCCTCAAAGAGCGCACAGGATGGGTTGTAAGCTGAGGGGCAGCGTGGGCGCTTGGAAACCCGGCATCACCATTGGCCATGTGGTCAGAGGGCACTCAGAAGCCATTGGGCCTTTCCACCCCTCCAGATGGGACCACACGTGCACCTTTTTCACCTCTAATTTGGCCTCCAAATAAATTAAGCAATTTTTAAGTGCCACAGAGAAGATAAAATGTGATGACAATGTGGGAGGGGCTGCGTTTCCCATGTGGTCAGGAAAGGCTTTGCTGAGAAGGTGCTGTTTCAGCTGCAAAGGCCACCATGCAAAGGTGAGGAGAGAGAGGGTTCTGGGTAGAAAACAGGGAGCTAGACCCTGAGGCAGGAAGGATTGTGGTCTGCGGTACAGCTGGGGTACAGGCTGTGCTGGGAGGTGAGTGGCCATGACTGGCAGATCTGCCTCATGTTCTGAGTGAGGAGTCAGGGTTTTATTTGGGTTGTGTGAGAAGTGATTTGAAGTTTTTGAGCGGGGAGGTGCTATACGATCTGATTTAAATGTTAGCAAGATCTACGCAGAACTTAAGGAGAGTGGGGCAGAGGTCGAGTCCAGAAGAAGAATTAGGAGGCGTTTACAGTGGACATGACGGTGACAGGGACTCAGATAGCAGCTGTGGAGGGGTGACAGGTGGTCTCATTCGGGATTTACTTGGGAACATGCTTTGGGGGTAAAGCCACCAGGACACACTGCTAGCTTGGTGTGGAATGTGAAGGAAACAGAGGAATTAACAACAGCCCTCTGGCCATTTACTGAGATGGGAAAAGTTTGAGGGGACCATGACTACGGGTAGATGGGCGGCATGGATAGCTCTGTTTCAGTCGCGTTATATTGACATGTCGATTAGACATCCAAGCGGGGAGGGAGCAGGTGGTGATATAAGGACTTGGACTTCAGGGGAAGGCCAACGTTGAAGACAAACATTTGGGAATCTGGACTTGGATGTCTGGATACTATTAAAAGCATCCTACTTGGATAAACTCTAAAGAGAGAATGTAGACATAAGAAAAGGGGGGCTGAGAACAGCATCTCGGGGCCTTCCTAGAGTCCTGATGAAGAAGGAGGAGCAGGCTGGAGACTGACAATAGCTCACCAAGGAGAAGGAAACTGAAATGGGCCTTAAAGAAGATGATGTTTCAAGTAGGACAGTGTCATCAATATCAAATGCTGCTGAGAAATTGAGGAAGAATTGGACAGATAAACAGAGGTTTCAGCAAGATGGAGATCCTTAGCCATTTATTACGGTGTGATAGGCATTTCAGTGCAGGGGTAAGCACGAAGTCCAGTTGTGTGGGTTGAGGAGAACATGGGAGAGGAAGAAGTGGGGGCCGAGAAGAGAGACAGTGTTTCGAGGCAGTTTGCTACACAAGGAGCAGAGACTAGGAGCTGGGCAAAGACACACAGCCAGGACAACGATTTTGGGGTTGTTCTTTTGTAACAATCTATAATAAAATAAATGTCTAAAATAGTACCATTGTTTATTAACAATGCATAACAATAAATGTGTGCAATAAGAGTGTTGGCATCTGAGATCTGTCAGTGGGAATAATCCATTGGAGAGGGAGAAATTGATGGTGCACAAGAGAGAAGATAATTACAGCAGTGAAGTTCTTTTTTCTTTAAGCTTATTTTTCAATTACAGTTTACAGTCAATATTATTTTGTATTAGTTTCAGGTATACAGCATAGTGGTTAGATAGTCCTATGCTTTACAAAGTGTTCCCCTTGATATTTCCGCACCCACCTGGCCCCACAGAGAGTTATCACAAAGTCATTGACTGTATTCCCTATGGTCACATCCCCATGACTCTTTGGTAACTGCCAATCTGTACTTCTTAATCCCTTCACCTCTTCATCCATTCCCCAAGCCCCTCCCCTCTGGCAACCAGCAGTGACGTCCTTAAGGAGGAGAGAAGGCAGGCGATGGAGGATGAGTCGGAGGTTGAGCCGGGGAGGAGCAAGAATGCTTCTTCCATTGTAGCAGCAGGGAAGGCAGGGCGTGGGTGCAGATGCTTGGACTAGGGAAACCTCTGCTGGAAAGAGGAGGAGAGTCCCACTGGATCCTTCTTTTTTAATGTTGTTAATTCTATTTATTTATTTATTTATTTAAATTATTTATTGTTGACAGTATTACATATGTCCCTCTCCCCCCATCCCCATTGGCCCCTCAGCCTGCCCCCACCACAAGCCCTCACCATCCCATATATGCAGGGCCTCATCTGTGCATTGGATCCTTCTTATGTTCTCTGTGAAATGGGAAAGTGAGTTGGAGCAGATGGAATGTCAGAGGCTTGAGGAGAAAGAAGTTTGAAATAATTATCTCAGAAAATGAATACGTTAATTTCTTAAGGAAGCATAAGGGGATCCTCCTCCTCCGGTGTGGGCTGCCTGTTTGAGGCTCGTGGTCCTCTGTGTGAAGCCAAGCCTGGGGGTGTGGGTGAGTGAGTTCTCTCTCAGCCATGCTTAGCTGTCCCAGTGCAGACGCAGACCAGGCGGACAGCAGAGGGGATGTGCCAGGCAGGGATGCGCAAGGACGGGGAAGGCAAACTTTGAACTGTTTTTGCAAAGGAGCCATCGCAGTGTTGGACCAAGGAATCCAAGCCGAGTGAGGAGGGAAGAGGGGACATGGGAACGGGGGTGACAACGAGGCTGGAGTGGGGGGAGGGGCCCTGGCTGGAGGTCACAGGGCCATCTGGGCGTTGCTGGGTGAGGGTACTGGTGGAAAAAAGGACACTGAATGGAAGGGGGAGGTGATGATCAGAATATGGGGGGATGGAGGTGACATATCCGGGAGGGGGCAGCTTCCTATTTCACAGACACAGCCTGATGCTGTGTTAGCTGCCCCATGACCTAAGTGTGTGCCTCACATACTGGTGACCAGTCAAAACAGTGGCTCCCAGAGCCTCCCATAGATCTTATCAACTTTATTTAAAAAGGGGGTTTTGAAGTCCATTGACATCATTCCCTTGGGCTTCCCAGCAGGGGAAGATGTCCGGCCCTTCCTGACTCTCTATGTCAGCGCCCAAAGCCTGTGGTCTTGCCGCCGCCTGGGGAAGAAGGCTGTGGCGATCGGGCGGGCGGAGGAGAGAGACCATGGTGCGGCGAAGGGGCCCTGCCAACACAAACAGGCCTCGCAGGGCCGCGGACCCTATCTGACAGAACCGCTCAGGCCCACGGAAGCTTTCAGGCTTGGCTATTTTTAAATACCCTGTTCACAGGCTCAAAGCAAACAGCGATGGAGACAGCTAGGCGGGCTGCAAAGGAAACTGATTCAGGAAGAGAAACCTCAAAGGCTTGAGGGCTCTGGAAAGCAGTCGCCCACTGCTCCCTGCGAGGAGATAAGCTCTCTGCCGACACGTCCCCGACCAGCAGGGCCGGGCACCAGGAGGGTGTGCACATTCCCTGGGGACTAAACCCCAAAGGCGTGGTTCCGCTTTGCAGGACTGTGTGGATTTCCTACACCGTTTTGTCAGACAGGGAGCCCCCCGAGCGCCCTTCTTCCTACCCCTTCTCCTCGCAGGGGCAACTGAAGCTCTGAAGAAGGACAACTTTCCAAAGGGCATCCGGAGTCCCAAGGTTAAGTCTCCCGGAGACTCACCTCCAGGTCCGCTGGCCGGCACCCGAGGGACGCCACCCACTGCCCTGCGAGCCTCGCCTGGAAGGGGTGCCCTGTTTGGGGCATCGCAGGACAAAACCTCTCAACCCTGCCCCACCTGCACGGCTTTCAGCATTGTAGCAGGGGAAGGACCTGCTCCAGGGGACTGGGGGTTTACAGAGGATTGGAAGAGTCAGGGAAGTGTCTGCTAGAAGAGATGACTCACAGAACGCACCTGAAACCACCTGGATTTCAGCAAACTCAGCAGGCGCCTTTGGAGCTTCCTGCACCACCTACCCGGGTGAATCTCCAGACACCTCGCCATCCTGTCTGCACCTCTGCCTGCCACTGCCGCTGGGAAATGATGCCTTCGCACACTGTCCCAGACTGAACTGTGATCCCTCAAAATTTTTATCTAGAAGCCCTACCTCCTGTACTTCAGAATGTGACTTTAGAGATGG